TTTTATATCTATTCTTGCTGTTTTTTCTTTTTAATCAAGTTAATTTTGTTTTGAAATTTTGGTCAATTACTTCACATTCAATCTGAGTATGCTTAACATTACAAAAGAAAATTTTAGTTTAATTTAATTTATATAGATTACGATTACTTTTACATAAAGCATTAATTAAATGTTGTACAACAAGAAAATGATGATAAACACTTAAAACTATCACAAATTTTCTAAAACAATATTGAATGTAATTAGATATTCTGGACTTTTTTCTATTTATGAAAAAAGTTCTCCAACTAGTAAGTCACTTTTGAGTCAAGACTATGTGTACTTAGCTTATTGCAGAAGTCACAGTGGTATATGGGTGGGAGCCGAACAGTTGCTCGCTGGTGTGGATGTTGGTCTTGATCTTCTCTTCATTAAACTCACACCCTCTCCTACTTATTCTACTTTGTGTAGAAGCAAAGTCCGAAATACTTTTCTTGTGGCTTACTATTGCTTTCTTGTATTAAGTAGCTGAAAATGAACGTAATCAAGAAGGAACCTGAAGGTTCGGGTTAGGTACATAGCTACTAATTATATTATACATATATGGCAGAATAGATAAATATTTTTAAAATTCTCGTCCTGATATTAAGACTATCACGCACCCGAAAATTGTCTTTTTGTATTTTTTTGGTTTCTTTCATCTAATAAGGATAAATCTCTATGAGATTTTACGAGGAAATTCATCCGACTTATATTCTTCATTTGAGTTCATATTTTGTTTATAGGCAGAATGCATAATATAGATAAAAACTCTAGCATGGTTCATGCAAATAAGTTTTTCTTCTCTAATTATGTCCATTGTGCTGAATTTTTAGCATATTGCAGGATCCGATGAAAATAATAATTAGGAAAAATTTTCACCTAAAATTCAAAACGCCTGTAAAGTTTTAAAAAAAATCATCTATTCAATGATTACGATGTTTTTTTTTAGTGAGAACGTACTCAGACGTTCTTCGACAGACTCATAGAACAGTAAAAGTATTAAAATACGACGATCGACAATAAGACAATATCTGACAAAACTTTGATATATAAAAAAAAAGATTTTATGTTAAGATTTCGCATTAGACTCAATTAATTCCATGCCGTTTAGAGGTCGAAATGTACCAAAACTCAAATTATCTATTTCTTTCAACTCCCTATTCTTGTATGATAATTTTGACATATGAAAAATCTTTTATTTAGATAATCAATATGGATGATTCAACAGCGACAATTAATGAAACTATTCAACATATTGAAGATGGTTTAACTAGTTGTATATCAATTGTTTTTTTTCACATGATTTTCTTCAAGAATTGCTATACTATGCAGAAGCCTACTTCAATGAACGTATGAATATTTATATGGATCACTGACTGACAAAATCCAAATTTTAGAAATCATCAGTATTTGGTCAAAAAGTCAGGCTTTGACCACGAGAGTTTTCTATAAAATTCGGTGGAAAGCATAAAATTGTTTGGGATTTCTCTTAGAGAAGCAAAATGATCACTGTTACCAACTCTGGTGACTTGTCTTTATCAAGTAAGTAATGAGAATAATTATTTCATACATGTAATAAAGAAAAAAGAAGCACGATGAAGTGTATATCTATAAATTTATCTATTTCGATCAGAATATTATGCCGAATCCATGGTCTCACGTCGCCAGAAAAGTTTAAAAAAGACCGATCACAAGAACGCTGAAAACTACAGAACTGAGCGATTTCATGTTTTTTTTTGAGTGTTTCTTACTTCAAATTTAGAACAATTTCAGCTAGAAAAACGTTGATATCTTGACCGGTGACGATCAGAACACACTTCAATTATAACAAAATCGAGTGAACAAGAGTTATGTCATATTTTCTCGTTCTCTATGTACTATATTATGTAGTCTCATATCTGTTCATTTACTGATGAGAAGAAACCACGAATTAGTATTTTATAAGGATATGAAAAAAACAAAAAAGAAAAAAATCAGAAGTGAAAAGTAAACTATCTAGAAATTTATTGTCACGACATTGACAGCATGCCTATATTTTTCTGACGAGAGAAATTCGTTTTGGCAATTGTTGTTCATTTAGGAAGTAATTGTGAAATAATATAGAATTCGCATGCCCGATTATTTAACTTTTCGTTTCAGTACCACTGAAGTAATTTCTGATTTGATTTGTTTTTTCATTTTATACAGATCTTGTATTATTGATCCTTGACGTGTAAATAAACATTCAAAACAGGTACAAAAAATATATTGGCGCTCATTTTTATGAATTAAACGCATTTTCACTATCAAGAAGATGAGCTAATAGATTATTGCCTCTCACTGGGATAGTTATAATTTCTTTCTTGTATGCTTTTTATGTCGATTAATATTGCCGTTAAAATCTAACGTGGCAGAACTGAAAATCAGAAGATTTAGTAGGCCTGTTCATAGCGTACGAAAGAATAATGAAACGAATAGATAGACAACCAACGAGGCAGTACTTGTCTTTTTCATGATCTTTTTTTATAGGCTACTACCAGCTGTTCTTTTCACACACTAGAACTAAATATATAGGTTCATTATTTTATACATCGTTTTTTCGATTTTGCTCTGCATAATATTAATCTTGAATTTCTTTTTAAACCAGGGAAGCGAGAAATAAGCAGCATTGCAGGTTTGCCGCTACCTTCATGTCTTTTCTGAAGTTACTACTGATAATTTATGCTGGAAATAAAATATGGTTATCTGAAAAAAAATCGATATTTTTGAAATTCGTATGAAAATTCAGTTTTTCGTTTAGGATTTTGAGCTTGTTCATGCAAAACTAATTTAATCTAAATAAAAATCAGCCTTGCTCCCCTTGAATTAAAACTATTGTCGAGTATTTATTTTTTTTCAGGTTAGTCTTTTTCTTATTTATATCGATTGATAATACTTAGGGCATATCAAATTTTTGCTCGAGCGAGTTTTTCAGCTAATAATCACGCGCAATCAATTAGTTCGAGCTATTATGATAGGTTCTGATGCATAAGAGTAAAAGCATCTTTATGAATATATAGATGACTGTTGTCATAATGACTTTCGATGTCTTGAGTGTTAGCCAATGATTTTTGTTTTTTCATTTCATTAATACGTCATTTTAAAGAATGGGTGAAATAGTAGTCTTCTACCTTCTTTTATGTCCAACAAAGTTTGATTAATCAAAATAGTTGGTAATTGTTAGGATGAATTTTTTAATCAAAGATTATTTGCAAAATACTTTCAACAAATGTCTTCGAACAAATCGATTATGCGTAATTACTCTCTTCATTGTGGGCTTTTATCTGCCAAAACCATTACTTCTGGTAAATCCTAAAAGTAATTCCAATTTTTTCTTATGATGGGCTATTATCTATGACAATCTATATTCTTAAGAGTATCAAAACAAGAATACGTCAATTGATATTTTCAAATCAATAAAGCTAATTTCGTTTATTTTCTTACTTGCAATATTATCAATGTACAATTAAGGCTAATTAATTCATATAACACGAAAAGAATCAAACAAAGTCTCTGCATAAAATAACTTGATATCAATTCAAAATGCATCTATGATACAACAAGACATTTAGAGAACACTTAATATGTTTAAATTTTGATAATGAATCGAACAATAGCATTGACTTTTGACAAACAAGGCTCAATGTTTGCCTTTCCATTGATACACTTTAGAACCAATTAGACTTTTGACACACTTATTATCCGTGCCTTTTAGTACAATATGAAACATTGGGTGAATATGGATCAAGGCAATTTTTTTTTCCTTCTTGATACGGTCAAAGCACCGCATTAATGTGAATGAAGGCAAGGTTCTTTTTTCGTTTCGATATAGCTCAAAGTAACGTATACATGTACATTGAGGCATTTTTTTCTCTTTGATACGGTTCGAAGCACTGCATTTATGTTGACCGAAGTGAATTTTGTTTTCTTTATGATACGGTTCGAAGCACAGGATAAATTGTGAATCAAGGCAACTTTATTTTCTTTATTGTAGGATGTGAAGCACTTCTATAGTAATTCGTCGCGAGTTTTTTTTCAGTAGAACATTCATTCTTTCTGCCCTAGAAGTGTGCATTTTTTTTTAAACTTTGAAATAATTAAAAAGTAGACAGCCAGAAAAATTAGCTATCATTGAACAGGTTATTTCATTAATGACAGCTGTAAGTACAACTAATGCGAGATAATGAATCAGAGAGAAAACTAAGTAATTAAGATATGTAGATACCCGTTCAGAGAGTTCTCATGTTCATGAATTTCGCTATGAATACTTTTCAGATTCTCTCTGACTTCCATCAATTGATTGATCGGAACGTAATTTTTCTGATTATAGCAATAGAAAACAAAGTCATTTCTGTAAACTATAAAAATCTTCTGAAGAAAAGTATTTCGTACTTAATCGTAGAAATGTTTTTTTTTCAATTTTTGTTTGCTTTGCTCATTAATTCATGTAGTAAAAATCAATATTTAAATTCACAAATATCTGTAGCATCATTCCGATGCGTTCAATTGACTTAAAGATAAAAGAAATCATTCAAATAAGCTTTCAAAGAATGTTTTATTCAGTGTGAAGAACGAAAGACGGTCCTCCTTCGAAAATCGAGTTAGCTCTTCCGAAATTTTAAATCTTTCTTTCGGAAGTGGAAATTCTGAAGAAAACACTACCTTCAAGATGTTTCCTTTCATTATTCTACTTGTAATGTTTTATCGATTATCGGTGCTTGATATTTATTCAATAAAACAAAACAAGTAAATTCATTTTTATACCATTCAGAGATTAAAATTCACTTTTGATACTTCTTAGTCGTATTTTTCTTTCTTCTTCCCTATCCAACATGTAATTCAAAATCAGAATAATAAAAGAAAAAATTTTGTCATCTTTTTCTATCATTGACAAGTGTTGAATAAAGATCACGTTATAATACCAGCTATTTATATAGACATTAACAATTTATAAAATTGACATGGGAAAACCTGTTTCACCTGATTTATCCAAGGGTAAGTCTTCTATAGACAATTGAGATAAAAAATTCTCATAAAATAATAACTTTTAACATTATCATTTTTTTTCTCTAGTTGAGTCCGATTCAATTCATCGCCAGCGTCGTGTTCAATCTCCTTCCTCACAACATGAACGTTCATCAATTACATCGAGCAGTCAACCAGATACATCGAAAGCAGAATTACCAACAGAAGAAGTCATATTGAAACGACATCTTGGCATATTCTCAGGAGTTTGTTTTATTGTTGGGATCATCATTGGTAAACTATTATATATTTTTATTTTTTGTTTTATTATTGATTGTTTGATATTATTATTAGGCTCTGGTATATTTGTTTCTCCAAAAAATGTTTTAAAAGATACAAAATCAGTCGGTTTCTGTTTGATTGTTTGGGCTGTATGTGGATTACTTGCTTTACTTGGTTTGTTTTGCAGTATTGTAGACGTTTAAGAAACAACTTGATTTTTATTTTAGGAGCACTTTGCTATGCAGAAATCGGCACAGTAATACCAAGAAATGGTGCAGAAATAGCTTATTTAAAAGAAGGTATAGTATATAAAACAAACATATAGATTATTGTAACGGTGTTGATCTCTGACATATCCTTTTCTTTTGTTTTTTTTTTCTTTCAAAGTTTATTAAAAATTATGTCTAAGCAGTGGTATATTTTATCTTCTTTTAACGAATTATGTAATATGGATCTATTCACTAATAGGTATTGGATCGGTTCATGAACGAACTGGTGATATATTAGCATATCTTTTCAATTGGACGAATGCATTCATTCTGAGACCAGCAAGTATTGCAGTTCTTACTCTTACTTTTTCTGAATATTTCTTAGCTGGTATCATGGACGGTAAACTAGCTTCTATACATTGTTGTTCATGTTGTACGTTTACCAATATACATTTAGATTGTGGACCTCCATTAGAACTTGTCAAAATGCTTGCTATTTTTACTACTAGTATCGTTATATCTTCTCTTAATTACTTATGTCTATATTGTTCGTTTGTAGTAATGCTCATCAATATTAATTCGTTCAGTGTATCAGCAGCTAATCGTCTGAATATCATTTTTGTCATCTGTAAGATATTGACTATCTTGACAGTAATAGTGGCTGGTCTCGTACGCGTAGGACAAGGTTTGTTGTTTCTTGTTATGCGTGAAAAATAAATTAGATCATTTGAAACTGGTTTCTTTTTAGGAAAAACAGAGCACTTGAAAAATGGTTTTTCTGGTAGGATGTGGTTGATTACAATCATAAAGAGAATAAAATATTATTATCTTGCCCTAGAATAGGTACGGTAAAAAATCCATCCGGTATTGCACTTTCATTTTATGCTGGTCTTTGGGCATATGATGGATGGAATAGTCTTAATACAGTAACAGAAGAACTTAAAAATCCTCAAAGGTATGAGTACGATTGATGATTTTCATAGATGTAATCTTTTCAAGAAAACTGAAGATGCCGATCCTATACGATCGAACTTCGTTTTATGTATTTAAAAGCTTCATGCTGATTATATCTTTGCATTTTATAGAAATCTATGGTTATCTATTGTATTGGCATTGCCTGCTGTTACGGTCCTTTATGTTCTTACTAATATCTCTTATTTTACTGTATTGAGTAAAGCAGCAATGCTTAGTTCAAATGTGGTCGCTGTGGTATGTAGAAGAAAAGAACATCTTGTCTTGTAAATAATCAATTTCTTCTGTGTAGACATGGGGGGAAGCTGTATTGTGGCATCAAGCTGTTCGTGTTCTACTCATTCTCATTTCTATTAGTGCATTAGGTAGTGCTAATGGAACGCTCTTTGCAGCTGCTCGATATTGTATGGTTGGTGCTCAATATGGATATTTGCCAGAAGTATTTGCATGTATTCATTCAAAGAGACTGACTCCATTGCCTGGTATTGTTCTTCAGGTTATATTGATTTCCCATATTTAATAATAAATACCAATTTTTATTATTTTCTTTTTTTGCAGGGTTTCATTGGAATACTTTTCTGTCTTCCAAGTGATATTTATGATTTGATCGAACTTTTCAGTTTTGCTGCATGGATTTTTTATGGATTAACATTTGTTGCTACACTTTGTTGTAAATTTACAAAAAAAGATGCAGAACGAGTGATTAATGTCAGTATCTATTATCACCTATGATAAGAAAATAGGAAATTAAAATTTTTATGTATAGGTTCCTATTCCATTGATTATTATTATTATTATTATTTCAATTTATTTGGTTATTACACCTGTAATTACACAGCCAAGTGTTAAACTTCTTTATGCAACAATAATAATGTTAGTTGGATTGGTATTCTATTATCCATTTGTCTATCGTAAAATGGAATTCAATATTATGAGTAAGAAAAGAAAACGTTTATTATCTAATAATTTTTTATCTTTTTTTTTCTTTGTCTTTCAGACAATTTCAATACTTTTTCAACAACATTCTTTGATTTACAAAGAGCACAAGTGGACATTTAATTGTAGAATAATGACTTATTTTGTAGTTGTTTTTCAAGATAGATATACCAAATAGTTATTGAACTTATTTACTATTTTAACTTTTGTATGATTCTTTAAACTGATTGATAGGCCATAATCTATATTAACATACATGAAATAAGATAATCGGTGAAGTATAGTTGCATTTACATGACATGACTATTGCATTAATCATGTTTGTCCTACTGTATTACGTGGATTTATCGAAATATCGAAACAAAAATCTCTTCAGTAATTTCATTTACTCTAGTATAAATTTTAGCTGTAAATATTGATTTGTTTTTAGGTTTTTCGACACATCTCACATTTGTAAATACGATGCCATACATTCGAAAGTCTGTCGTTATTTTAAAAAAACTGAAAGCTTGATGTAATGCCGAAATGTAACCAACATAGATCGTTATAAATTGAGAGACTCTTAAAATCTTGCATCGTATTTAGTCGTTAAAATTAAAATAATTCGATATGTCTGAGAAGAAAACAGTAGAGACTTTAGTCTTCATGTCTGGAAGTCTCTGTCTTGAAGTCTACTGTTTCCTCTTGAGGTCTTGTTGAGTAGTCCAATTAAGTTTGTGCTCTTTAAAAAGCTTACTAAAGGTTTTAGCTATTATTCTTTGAAGAAAAAAAAAAAATAGAAATCTTAAAATCAATGCGAAGTTTTGCTACTGAGCAATGCATCTCTCATATTTTAATCCATTACATGTCTATAGAGGATCTATGAAAAGAAATCTACGTGCGTGAAACTATATTTACTTTTCTATTGAATTATTTATGGCATTTAGTCTTCAAGAATTCATCAAGTAATTGTTTTTTTATACAATACAATTGAGTTACAATGAAAATTAGAATGTTTTAACTGAAAATATTGATTATTATCAATTTGGTTGAATTCATTTTTAAATGATAAATCGAAAATAGATACGAACAGTTATATGATTCGAATCATTTCAATATTCATTTTAAAAACCGTTTAAATCATGACCATTTTTCACAAATTGCTATCGATAATTGGAAAATTTTCGTTGTTTCTTATTAATAAATTATGTTGTTATAGAATAAGTTACATGAATTGATATCATAATAATCGTTATTTGTATTCACTAGTTCTATTCATTTTTTAAAAATTTACAATGAACGATTGGTTGTTTATGCAGCTATTACGCTTTAGAGTTTGACTGGTTTCAAAAAGACATGACCATCATTGTTGATTCTCACGTAGCTCTTGTTTTGTTTTATTCATAACGATCAAAACTTACAATTTCGCCTTTTTAATTTATCTTTAATTTAAAATGTGTGTCAAGGTGGCAACTATTCGACTAACGAGAGAACGCTGCCAAGTAAAAATCTTCTGTTCGAGTCTTACAGAGTTCTGTTTATGGAGAAAATATGAACTTGAATGGAGAATATCCATTGGATATGTACTTCATCAACATTCATTTAAAGTAAACTTAATTCGTTTTCAAATTTAGTTCATAATCTATTTATATGAATCCCATTGGATTACTTCCCATAGTTGATTTCAGTTTTCAAATTCATGTCATTGTTTTATTTTATCTCTATTACTCTATACAACCCATTCATTGAAATATAAATCGTATCATTGACATGAACCTTGATCAATAGATCATTCTATCGATTTTTAGTCCTTGATCATTATCTTTTAACTTGTTGTGTTTTTATATCTATCTTTAATGCATTTTCTATATTGTACTTGCTGAAGAAAACAGCATAAATACATTCAGTTGTATCATTTTTGCAGGTTAAAGATCATCATTCGACACTTAATGTCCTTGTCTCGATTATCTTGTCTTTCTAACATAAACAGAAAGATAAGAAAAAAGGTGTTGTGATTTTTTTTCCTATTATGAGAAATAATGAATAAAGATTGTTAAAATGTCGATAATCTATATAATCATAAGCAATTAATAAAGATTAACACGGTCATATGCACTCCACCCGATCCAACCATGGGTAAGTCTTCAATAGATTGAAAAAAGTGTTCCTATGAATGCATTAAAGCAGTATATCGATAAGTTTTCTATTTTGAAATTTAAAATAACTGAATAACATCAATATCATCATCTTCTTGTTTAGTTGAGTCTAATTCAATTCATCGTCATCGTTCTGATCAATCATCTATTACTGAACATCGACATGCACCAATAACATCCGTTGTTCAACCAGATTCATTAAAAGTTGTGTTACCGCCAGATGAACCCATATTGAAAAGACATCTTGATTTATTCTCAGGAGTCTGTTTTATTGTTGGCATCATCATTGGTAAACTATTTTATATATGATTGTATTTTATTGTTCTTTTGTCGATTATTTGATATTATTATTAGGTTCTGGTATATTTGTTTCTTCCCAAGGTGTTTTACAAGAAACACAGTCAGTTGGTCTCTGTTTAATTACTTGAGCTATATGCGGATTAATTTCGATAATTGGTATGCTTTATAGAAATATTTTCATTTAAGATGTACATTTGTATCTTTTCTAGGAACACTTTGCTATGCAGAAATTGGTACAGTGATACCGAGAAATGGCGCAGAAGTAGCTTATTTAAAAGAAGGTAAAATAGAGAAGAGAAAACGAAAAATAATGATGACTAAATTTTGACAAATAATTTTAATATATATTCATTGACAGGTATTGGATCGGTTCATGAACGAATAGGTGACATATTAGCATATCTACATGTCTGGACAACCATATTTATCATTAAACCAGCATCTATTGCTGTTATTTCTCTCACATTTTCTCAATACTTCTTATCTGGCATTATGAGCAGTAAATTAGTATCTATCCGTGTAAGCACTTTTGAGTACATGTATATTTAGATTGTGGATCTTCATCAGAACTTGTTAAAATGTTGGCTATTTTTGCTATTCGTATGTTTATCATTTTTTTCTTAATAACTTGTGTTTATATAGTTTTTTTTTTATAGTAATGCTCATCAATGTTAACTCGCTAAGTGTATCAGCAGCTAATCGTCTGAATGTTGTTTTTGTCATATGCAAGGTATTGACAATTTTGACAATAATAATAGTTGGTCTTGTACGAATAGAACAAGATTTTTTTGTTATTAAGCTAGAGAAATAAACTAGATTATTTGACAATTAATTCTTCATAGGACATACACAAAACTTAAAGAATAGTTTTGCTGGTAGGTTGAAATTAATTAAGATGATCAAGGAAACTATTATTTATTTTTTGTTTAAAATAGGTACAACAAAGAAATCGTTTGGTGTTGCACTCGCATTTTATAAAGGTCTGTTTGCATACGGTGGATGGCATAATCTTAATACAGTGACAGAAGAAATTAAAAATCCTCAAAGGTATTAAATTTAATTGATAGCATATATTTTTACGTATATCTTTATAGATAGTAGCATTTCCGTTTTAGATATGACGTTTGATTGATTTATTGAGCAACTAAATGGAATAAATATTTTTGTTGTATTTTTTTAGAAATTTATGGTTATCGATTGTATTAGCTTTACCTTGTGTTATTATTCTCTACATTCTTACGAATATTTCTTATTTCACTGTGATGAACAAAGCTGAATTGCTTAGTTCTAATGCTGTTGCTGTAGTAAGTAGATGAATAACAAAACCTATCTTCTATTTAATGTATTATTGTTATATAGACATGGGGTGAAGTTGCTTTAGGCCCTGCTGTTCGTGCATTAGTCATTCTCATCTCAATTAGTGCATTGGGAAGTGTTAATGTTAGTTTATTTGGAGCTGCTCGGTATTGCATGGTTGGTGCTCAATATGGATATTTATCTGAACTCTTTGCATGTGTTCAAACGCAAAGATTAACTCCATTACCTGGTGTTGTCCTTGTGGTTGTATCCTCTATTTGATAATTGATAATGATAATATTCTTAATGTTTACTTTTGAAGGGTATCTTGGCAATTGCTTACTGTATTCCAAGTAATATCTATGGATTAATTGATATTTTTAGTTTTTCTACATGGATCTTTTTTGGTTTAACATTTGTCGCAACACTGTGCTGTAAAGTTACAAAGAAGAATGTACAACGAGTAATTAATGTATGAAATTGTCTTTTATAAATGATGAGAAAAAATAAAATGAAAGCTTCTATGTAGGTTCCAATTCCAATTATTGTCATTATTCTTTTGGTTGCAATCTACTTAGTAGTTGTCCCTATTGTATATTCTCGAAGTATTCGATTTCTTGTTGCTGTTATTGTGATTCTATCTGGTTTGAAATTATCTTATCCATTTGTCTATCGTAAAATAGAATTACCATTTATGAGTAAGTAATGAAAATGTATTTATTTTGCCAAATATTTCACAATTATAAAAATGATTTTTTTTTTCTATTACAAGAAAAAATCAAATTAACTTTTGAAGTATTTTTTAAACTACAACGAGTACAAATAAACATTGAATGATAAAATCATTGTTTTTTTTTTCTATTTGTAATTTTATTTTTCAATAGCAATGCATGAAATAATATTTGAATTTTATTAGATTTTCTTTTTATTCTATTTTTTGACATATAGGTAATGAATCATGTTGCCATTCATTATTTCGACATTGAATGTCAATAACATGAGATGATGAATTGACTATAACTGCATTTTCATGACATGAATATCTTGTCAATAGATAGTATTTAATTTCATGATGTATAAAATAAGATTCAGCACTTTTCCAACCATTTTCAATCGTTTCAGGCATTGATTCAAGACAACCACTTGCTAAAATAAGTAAATCAATGAAAACTAATAAAATTTTGAAAACAAATATAAATACATACGAATACATCTTGGTCGTGGTCCCCATCGACCATTTCTACATTGAATGTATAATGGGCCTGATTGACGATCATGCATAAAATTCTCAAGACATCGGTAAGTAACTCTACTACCATCATCATAATAACCGTCAGTAGTTAATTTTGCAAAGATTTGTGTTCGAGCATTTGGAATGGTAATGCCACTTTGACAACGACGTTTAAAAGGAGCTACAAAAATAAAAACACCAATGTAAAACTGTTAGATAGATTTAATTTATACCAATGCACGGTGGTGGAGGTAATAACCATTGACCATTATCAAGACAAGTCACGTTAAAAATAGAATTTTCATTATTGGTTTTATCAAAACAATTTAAAAGAACAAACGATCCTGGAATAGCTTCATTTGTTGATGTATCAAATACATTTATTAAAGAATCAATAACTGAGCTTCGAATTGAATCAATCGGTGGTGGAAGTGAACATCGAGGTTTTTCTTTGAAAATAAAAGAAGATCAATAAATTTTTCATTTAAATAATTTCTTACCATGACAAATTATTTTTGGATGAAAAATACCATTTTGACAAGTTAATCTAAATGGTTCATTATTACTAATATCATTTATAAAACCATATTGACAAATAAATAAAATTGATCCACTATATTTTATTTCATTATTTATAAAATGTTTTATGGCATCATCACTTAGTAATTGAGCATGTTCGATTTCAGGTAATTCTTTACAATATGAAGCAATTTCACGAATTTGTCGATTACCAGTGGATAATGATTGAGTGGATGAAACGAAAGTTTCATTTGAAATATTCATTATAGGCAAATCTTCATCTAGATTCATTGTAATATTATTGTCTTCTGTTGTATTAGACAGAATTGTTGAAGTATCGAAGAAAATCTCTTCAGTAGTTTCATTACCTATATTAAAAATTTTGAATCTTCCATCAAAATCCCTCCATTATTCTAATAAATATTTAAGCTACTCAATCAAATATATGTCTCATAGTCAATAATTCAAACAAAATATGATTTTTATTCATTCTAACTTACTCAATTGACACATTGTTATATTGATTGTATCGATTGACCATGTTCCATTCATAGAACACATAATAGAATTTGATTGGTTAAATAAAGATTCATATCCTGGTTGACATTTAAAAAAAATTCTAGTACCAACATTATATGTTTCATTTAATTCTGATTGAATCATAACTGAATTTGAAATAAATGGGATTTCATCTGAATTACAAACGATTTTATGAGTATCATCGAATATTATATTCGTATTTTCATTTTCGACTGTTGTTGTTTGAAATGAGTTCATACTTGAAAACATTGTAAATTTTTCTTTTGAAAAAAATAAATTGTTACTTTTCATTAAGTCTTCCTCATTCACAGTTGTTATCATTTGTGTTGTCGTTTTAACTGCTAACAGAAAAAATATTGAAAAAAAAATGTTTATTATTTTACCTCGACATATTGGTATACCAGTCCAATTATTTGTATTACGTTGACATTGAATTTTTAATGGTGGGCTGAATGAATCATGTTCAAAATTTGGTAAACAAACTCGAACAACATATGAATTATAAACAAATGCTAATGGATCTCGAACATATTGAAGTGAAACTAAAAAAAAAACAGAAAAAATAATTTAATCTATCATGTGTTTTTTTTCGATAAATTTACCATTAAAAACATACGAATTTTCAACTTGTGATTCAATATCAAGTAAATCTTGTTTTGGACATGTCGGAATTTCTAAAAATGCTTGTTTTTTTTCTTCAATATTTATTTCACTTTCATATTTACCGTAACAATCATTTATATTTGTCCATTGACCATTGAAACAATCACTTATGATTTGATCAGTACCATCTAATGTTTCAAAACCATAATTACATTCATAAAAAATTCTGCCTGTATAGGTTTGATCTTCCCAAATAGTAACATTATATACAGCAATATAACCATTTTTAATAAAAATAGGATAATCACATCGTATCTTTTGTTCAGTTGTGTAAGCAACTAGATGAATAAATGAAATTCAAGTAAAAACACATACTATAGAAAATAAATTTTTACATTCACAAACTGGTAATGAAGACCATAAACCAGAAGTTAAACATTCAACAATAAGAGATGTTTTACCATCATTTAAACGATAACCTTCTTCACATTCATATTCAAGATTACTACCAGCCTAGAAGAAAATATTATTATACGATCTAACGAATAATATGTCTACAAAGTCTAAACATGCTGACATATTAGAAAGAATATGTTAGATTTGAAGTATACAAATAATTTATTAAAAAGATACGGTTCATAATTGGATGTTGATTTCAAATATTTTCTTTCAATCGCAATTGAAGATCGAGATTTATCTATGATACAATAGTTACTGAGATTTTAAAATTCGTTTCATTAACTAAAAAAGAATATTAGCTCGAAATTATGTTTTTCATGTTTATTTAAGTAAGTCACACCATAATCTTTTAGAAATATATATTCAAGTTAAATAATCTTACGAAGATCGTATAAGAACTTACTGTAAAATGTCACTGTGAATATTTACATGATTCTTGCGAATTTTAATGATTGGAATCTTATAAGATCATAATATTAGGCCTCACATATACAGATAGGTTTATGCATTTAAACATATGTTTAAACGATTCGATGCATTCTAATTTCTACACTACTTTTTTAGGAACCAAAATCTGTTCTAGTTATTATGAGACCAATTTTATATGATAGATAGTGTTACAAACGTTTTTAGTAGTAAACTATATTCTGAAACTGTTTTCTTCTCGATTAAGTTAAAATCTTTCTAATAAACAGTTCGATTTGGGTTAAAAACTACTCTCTGCAATTGTTCATTGCTGGAGCCGAAATTCATAGCGTCGTACGAACAAGCACATGACATCGATTAATCAATTTGCAATTAAATAGGAATAGGTCATTTTAACGATCAAACTCAATAAAAATAATCTTTTACCGCTTTTTTAAGTGTATATTTGTGTTTTCATTTAATTTCTGTAATTTTTATAAATAAATGTACATGTGCACGTAAATATTAAAAAAAACGTTCTTAAAAAAACAAGATGATAGAAAGCGAAAACAGGAGACAATAGTATTAGATTTATATACTAAAATGTAAAGAGACATATCTTTCGCAAAAGTTGTTTACTTTTCAGTTTTTTAATGCCAATAAAAATTCAATTGAATAAAAATCTAACAACATCAGCTTTTACCGAATGTTAATCTAGACATTTTCAGAATTTTAAAATTTCATTGAAGTTATTGCTAAGATATAAAATGAAAACGACAGAAATTTAAGTCATTTGCTAACTGAACAACAATAATTTTCTTTAATCGAAAAATGATTTCCATACTAATTTTCATCGCTATATATTCCAAAGGGAATTAGCATCAACTTGGTTAATTATACAAAGCAATAGATTGATTATTTACTGTCGACGCACAACTATTGAATAAGAGATGAGATAGAATTCAAATTAGTACTTATAATAGAATAACAAGTAGGGTGCAAATAGCTAAGAAAAATATCTACTATATCGATCGACATATAGATCGAAGAATAAGATTTCTTAGACTTACCATATGAAATTGTCGACTTTTTTCTGAAAATTTAAAATTCATTCGAGTGATACGTGATTTATATGGTAAATATAATTTCGAATAATCACACATTGCTTGAACATCTATAATGAAACAAAATCTTTAATTAAAAAAAAAAAAACAAAATTGCCAAATATATTAATACAATTATTTACATCTACAACTAGGCATGGATGTCCAAGTACCATCATTTTGACATTGAATAATAAGAGATCCATTTGAAGTAGGATCAAATTCATAATTATCTGTACAACGTAAAGTAATAGTTGAACCAACAACAATTTGTTGAGGATCATCTTGAAAATGAGTTATATTATTTGATTCAATTTGTGTATTGAATGGATAAATATTAATAGGTGAACATCGTTTTTCAGCTAAATAAAATATTCTAAATAAAACTCAATTTAAAAAAGAAATAAAATAAAAAATAGTAC